CGGTAGAAAGAACCTGGAATTCCCATCATCTTCGCAAGTTCTACAAATGATTGTAATACTAGGCAAGGCCTACTTTATTATCAATCAAACCGATGATGTTCAATACTCTATTTGGTAGCGGCAGGATTGATAGGTCGAACCTATCCTAGGAGGGCTTCCTGGGTGGATCGAATCCACTCGGCTAAGCCAACTGAGACACAGGCCCGGACCTGGCACGCTGGTTACTACACCGGTCTTGCTCAGTATAATAGAAAAAATATCAAAACCCAGAAGAGGGGCCCGGAAGAGGGTATGCCTGCAAGAGGGTTGGACCTGGAAGAGGGTTCGAACTGTACTTACACGGGCCCATGAGGTTTGACTGGTGTCGGGGAATCAGCCGGCGCCGTCAAATTGATTGGGAACTAAAAAGATGCCCATTAAAAGAAATAGAAGGGGATCGTCCACCGTGGCGCATCCTATGTCCCCCTTCTCAGGGAAGACTTGAACGGGGGGTGAGCTAAGGCCTTCCCGAGATGGTAGAAATCAAAGGGCCATTAAAAGACTTAATCACCCGGAAGAGGGGGCCCTGGAAGAAGGGTGCATTTGAACCTTGGAGAGGGTTCGAAACCATTCGACATGGTTAAATCTCCAGTATTCTTACCGGTTAAGGATACTTCAAGAATTTCTAGGTTACAGGTGCTTCCATCTACAACCTACCGATAAAAAATAAAAAAAAAGAAGAGAGAATACCCCGGTCGGGTATGGGCACATCAGAACTTCGAAAGTTCTACATCCATCGAAGGGCAAGGCAGTTGACCGGTCAAACCATGGCGTGGGAATTCACCGGTCAAAGTAAATTTTGCCAAAAGAATTGGTGAAGTTATCCAAAAGGCAAAAGTAAATTTCGGCCGGTCAAACTTTGGTTAGCCAAAATGATGAAGACGTTTGAAAAGCGAAAATTGAAGTTTAACCGGTCAAAGTTACTTGAGCTAATCATTCAGATGAAGAGATCAAAGAGAACTTTGAAGTTCCGCCAGTCGAAAACAATTGAGAAGTGGCCTAATTTATGTACCGGTCAGAATTTCTATGATGGAATTTTAAGAAGCAAGAGCAAAGTATAGGTCAACAAGCAAGCAGATATGGAAGATTAACCGGTATGAAAATTAAACATGGAATTCAAGTAAAATAAAATTGTTAAGTGTTTACAGCTACACCGGGCATCCCCGGGGAAATTTCAAGTTGAGAAGTTTTATAAAGGACAACCGGTCTAGGCCGGGGAGATCCTAATCTAAGGGGAAAGGGGGAGTAGGCTCTTCCTCTAGGATGGGAGCCAGGCCGTAGGAAGCCGCAGTGAAGGCCGGGTCTCTCTTCAGGAGGATCCGGTGGGAAGCTGCCCGGTCTTTCTTTTGCCCGCACTTGAATCCGAAAGATCCGACAGCGGTAATCATCTTCCTTCCTTCAGGCTCCCGGTATAGAAGCCTGAAGGATTCCATGGTAGCTTCTGGACTCGCCGTCAGAACCCGGGCAGCTTCGGCCTTGTTTTCTTCAACCCAGGCGGCTGCGCGCCCGGGGAAGTTTTCTTCCTTCTCCGCCATCTCTCTTTTTGCTTCAGAGACCTCGTCCAGCAGCCGGCCATTCTCCTCCTTCAGTTGGGAGATCTCAGTCTTCATTGCCCCGGCCAGCCCAGACAGCCGGATCAGCTCATCAGCCTGGCTCCTCAGGATGAGTGCCATTTCTTCCTTCTCCTTCTTCAGCCGGTCGACTTCAGAAGGGGAACTC